TTTTCCAAAATAACAAATTTTTGTCGTTGAAAAATTGTTATAAAAAAGGTAATAAATAGGTTATTGCAGAGAATTCAATATTGATCGGTATCCATCCTTGCGAACTAGCAGGAATCATTGTCGCAATCCTGGTGGTAAGAAAAGCTCTCCATGGTGTTTTACTCATCCAAATGGACAAGAAGAATACTGTGATATCAGTCAGTGTCCTCCTAGTATGTATCCTTACTTAAGGGATCGAGAAGTGATGGGAACCATTGATGATGATGTTTGTATTTTATACTGCATATTTGTTTCTTTTTCCCAAATAAGACTTATGAAGTAATTAATTGTCTATCTATATCTATGTCTATTTATATTTGAGCTAGAATATATCTGTTAAATAATGAATTGTGTTCATATATGCAATCTAATCAAACTCCTATATGAAAAATGTTAAAATCATCATTTAGGACGTTCCGAAAGTTTATTTTCAGGGTTCTATAATCGGAGATATATCGGACATTTGGTCAAACCTGTCGTCTCCTTGGCAGCTAGCAATACTTGGTGGTTTTGGATTTTTCATTTTTAGTCTGATTCTTCTGTGTTGTTATTGTTGTTGTCGAAGAAGACGTAGCGAAGCAGCAAGTTCATCAGCTATCAAGAAAAATGGGTTACAAAACTGTAATGGATGCAGTATTGCAAGCAGGTTCATTTATCATCTCTTAAACTAAATGAAATCATAAAGGACTATTGTAGTGCGTTCTTCTTAATATCTTGATGAGTTGAAGAATGATTACATATAATCAAGTTGTAAAAATATTTTCAGTGCTGTAAACAGCACGTATTATCGGAAACTGAATGGTACAGCAAACACTGATCCAAACAATGCAGCTTTCGAACTTTCTTCGTTGATACAAGCACCAACAAATAGCACTACTTTTATGCAACATCATCATTCTGGTAGTTATGCTCAGTACAGTCCAAGACCTTCAACTGAGCCTTCCGTTGAGCCTTATCAAATTCCTGAAATACAGTCTAGTCAGGTCAGCATTTTTTTGCAAATTATATTTATGGCAGTTTATTGACGGGGTAATAGTGAATGATTACGATGGTATTTTGGCCTTAGCTATGTTTTATTCTGCTTTTAATTGTAAATAGAATAAATTTTCTATATTATTTCACTTCTCTCTCTTTTTTTTTTCATATAACAAGGTAAGTTTATTTAATCGCTAAGATAAAACAAATTCCAGTTGCAAATCGGCGATTTGATTGGCGAAGGACAGTTTGGTATGATACACAATGGCAGTTGGCATGGTTCACTTCTTAATGGCGAACCAATACAGGTTGGGTGCTTTTTTTTGTACCGCTGACTTTTTCATTTCTCAAAACTGTGACAAACAAATAGAGCACTTGTAAATAAAGTACATATTTTCTTCCCCTTCTTGTTTATTTTTATTGTGATATAAGAAATTCCAAATGATTTTTGCATTATTTATAATTAATGCAACTTGGAGCTAAACGCTTTAATTATTGAGTAGGAACAGGAATGTGTACCGTTATTTGTAACTATCATCCACTGTTGAAGCCTTTTGTAGGTGGCAGTGAAATCGTTGAAATCTGGAAGCAGTGCAGTGGAAAGACAAAATTTTGAGGAAGAAATCCGTACGATAGCACCTTTCGATCATCCAAATGTTGTGCGTTTACTTGGTGTTTGTTACTTTGATACACAGCAGCTGAGTGCTGTATTTGAATACATGGTACATGGTGATCTTCATGACTTTCTGCTTCTCCGAGCGCCAAAAACTAATGGGTTTGTGTCATTCTCTTTAAAACTTTCATCTTCAACTATCTGTCTAGGCTTTTTGATAAACGTATATTTCCACTGGACTGTAAGTTTTGTTTCGACTTTTTTCCACACCAACAAACATGAACTACTGTTTTTCGGTTTTTCAAAATGACGTTTTTAAGTGAGAAACTTCAACTTTGAAGGTTACATTCTTAACTGAGGGATATTTTTTATCCTGATGCAGCAGCAATTCTTATTCCTAGTATTTGAATATTTTTGGTAAGTTTGTTGGGAAATTAGCATATCGGAGAAGTTGCATATATTGACTATTTATACCTTACATTCATAATAAATAATTTGTGCAGATATGAGCAAGTAATAGATCAAGAGCGGATCATCGCTGATAATGAAGATTTCTTGCGTATTGCCCTCCAGGTAATTATTTGTATATCCTTTTTTTTTTACTCAACGATCTCGTTGAAGGGGTAGAAGAAACACTTGCTTAGAGATATTTCGGTTTGTCAAAATTTATAAGAGATGAATTCAGCTAACTTTTGCTATGTTTAAGATTGCATATGGTATGAAGTATTTATCGAGTATGAATTTCGTACATCGTGATTTAGCAGCCAGAAATTGTCTCGTGGCTGATCAGCGAGTTATTAAAATTGCTGATTTTGGTTTAGTCCGAAATTGCTATGAGAAGGACTACTATAAGGTTTATTATGAAATTATAATAATGATGGCTGACAGTATTACACAATTTTATAAAGTTGATGTTTTAGAATAAATGGATTTTTATTTGTTTTTTAATACACTTCTTTAGGCTTTATTTCTATTTTTGAAAAAGCTAGTGTCTCTGATTTTTAAATTACTTCGGATTTTGACAAACAGCTATGATTTTCTAAATCTGCAATAAATACTATAACATTGAAGATGATTTTCGCAGGTAATGCATCGAACTTGGTTACCAGTTCGCTGGATGTCACAAGAAGCAATTCAGTGCGGTCGTTTCAATGAAGCAACTGATGTTTGGTCGTTTGGAGTAACTTTATGGGAAATTTACTCGTACGGAAGGCAGCCATATGAGAGTTACTCAAATCAGGATGTTATCGAATTGATCTGTGTGCGAAGTCTACTAGAATGTCCACAGAACTGCCCAACTAATATATATAGGTATTGGAAGGTTGAAATAACAAATAAAACATTGTTGAATAGAAAACTTATTTTGATTGGTCAATTAACTATTAAGTCAGATATCTTATTCCATTTTTGTGAGATGAACCCATTTTTCTCCCTTCGAAGAAAAATTCTAATTGATAAGTGATCGTGTTGCAGTTTAATGGTAGAGTGTTGGCATGAGCATCCAGAACGACGGCCAACATTCAGTGAACTTTATTCACGTCTGCAGACTTGGTCACTCACAAGTCCATCGCAGTCTGTACTTTCACACCAGCAAAATCATCCTGGCAGTTCGCATTCCGGTATGTTCTAATCTAATCAATATGCGGAAATGAAAGCATTTCGATTGGATATTTCGCTTCGGTCACTTCTGCTTCATTTTAGACTCAAGTGCTGCTGCAAATCGAGGCAGCAGGCAGTCATCATCAACTCCATCGCTTAGTTTATTACGTGGTACTACCGGCAATACTTCACTTGGAACTGCTCCAAGTATGGCTACTACAGCCTTTTCGGTACCTTCACCAGCTCCAATGCAAACAATGATGACGTTGAACGGAGTGCATCCTTACCAAGTTGGTGCGGTAACTTATTATAGTATGCTTGCATGCTGAGGTTTTGCTCTTATCATTAGAATATTTCTCAAGTTTTGAATTCAAACCCCTAGAAAGCTCTATAAAGTGATTGTTGACCCATTGAATTTGCTGAATTACACACAAGTTGAAATTCAACTAAAGCTTTCTAGTTTTAGGAAGTACTCACTTAGTATCTGGTGGAAATCATAACCGTTCACCGAAAACTCGTTTGCAAAATACGGCAACTAGAACGAGTAATAATACAATGACAACAGCATCGTTGATGCGTCATCAAGGAACATCACATTTCAACTATTCCGGCGATGATGCAGCAAGTGAGGAATCTGACTAAAAGAATCTGGCTTCTTTCTAAATGCATATTCTTATTCACCATTCGTATAAAGTTCATGCAGTGAACCGCATTGTTACTATTGTTATTGTTGTTTTCTGTTGCTTGTGTAGAATGATTATTGTTGATACTTTATTATTTCCTCTGTTCTCAATGATCTCAGTTTTCAGTTTTCTGGACGATTCTTCGACCATTCTTGCTGTATTATGACTGTTTATTCGTCATTTTTGATTAGGATATTTATTCTCTCCACTGTTATTTTAATTTAGGTGAAAATATGAATAGCAGAAAGAAAACTCGCTGTTATCAAAATTATTTCCATGAAGCCTGCATTCATATTATATGATTTCTGTCTTGTTCTACCTCATTATTACAGTCCAAGTTATTAAGAAAATATGAAAAATAATAGAGATGTTGTTACTAGTTGGCAGGAACTAGTTAAAAATAATATGTCAGTCCGGTAAGAATTATTTTCGTACTGTTTACGAAATGTTGACTTTTTACTGATAGAACTCGAGATTTTTGGAGACTTTGCCTGCTTCTTTAAAATTTTCTCAACTCATCGAGCTTATTAAATGCTGTATTTTCCATACTTTAAAGTTATTTTTATGTCAGTCTCACAATACTTCATAATCATGTATATATATATATATATATATTTTTGTAGAATACGTCTATATATTCATAATGCCATCTCTTTTTTCAATCAGATAAAACAGGGTTACAAAACAGTGTGCTAAATGTTCTTTCTCTCACATATTGCATTCATTCATTTTTTGAAAAACTTAGATGATTATTACATTTATCGATGCTATTGACATTTCCATTTTATTTTTGATTTTAAAGTTGTGGGCAGTGATAGATTTGATAAGATTCTTCAGATTATTTTGCTGTTTTTACTAGTATCATTTCATTATTGCTTAGATGCACTTTCTTCATGATACAAAAGCTTACACCAAATGAAGACAAACGATTACTAAATGGTGTATTCCACATTACATCACGATCAATTACTCGTCTTGCCAATAGATGCAGTCAAATTTATTTTCATTCATATCTGTCTAATTACCTTATTTCGAAGATAATTATCTCTAGGTGGGATAAACACCATGAACCATTTGGTATCATATCATTGTTATAGCATGATTACACTAAATTGATGATTACTTGTGTTATTCATGATTCTAGTCGAAGAGTTGTCCTTTATCAAGTTATTCCCAACGATCAAACCATTAAATGGTGCACGGCCTTCTTTGCTATACTTATATCCGTACAGTACGTAGAGTATCATTCCTGAAATGTGACTGATAAATGATAAACGTGAAAATATCAGATTTCTTTAAGAGGCATATTTAGTTAGAAATTTCTGTGATTTTTTTTTTAGTCGTAGGAAGTTTATGAATTAAATCAAGTAGGGCGTAGACTCCTAATTAACAAGTTATCAATTTTTAAAATAAAAAAAAAAAAGTGAACTTATTAACCAGTAATAATCCAAGCGATAAATCCCACTACCGTGATACAATCAGTAGTGCATGCCACCAGTATGGCTAGAAAGATTACAAGAAGTGTGAGGTGTGGAAATGCAGGTGTTTTACAACTTCGTTCATTGTTTATCGGATTAACTGTTTGTCGGGCAATGTTTATCATGAGATATACCAAAGTTATGCATGCCAAAAGCATTGGTAGAGTTAAATACGGCTATAAATTAATTTCAAAATCAATTCATATACTGTAAAAATTTGAGTATTAGTATGTGAATCGTTTTAACAAGGCATCTGTTTCTGCCTGAAAATTCCACACCATAAACCCACAAAGTTGAGGAATTTGCAGTCGTAATGCAGGTGTGCAATGAGTGCGATAAGGATTTGAAATTATTAATCGGATACTTCGCAATCAATTTAGGTTTGGTGTAAACTGGGAAGATGGATTGAAAATCTAAATGAAAGTTTCAGAATTGTGACATGATATTGATTGTTCATGACGTGATAATTGAACTGCTTCTTTCGGATAATTATTCTGAATTCAATTTATGAAAGTATTTAGAGAGATTTAAATTAAAGCTATATTAGTTAATTTTTATATCACCTTTCCTAATTTTCTTGCAAAATGAAAGAAAGAATAAATAATTAGATGAAACCATCTTCCAACAATTTTTTAATCAGTTATATATTGAAAGAACCACCAAAATCTCGCAGATACCTTTGTTAAGCTGCTCTCGGTCTTGAGAATCAGAAGTCCAATAATTACAGAACTTAAAATAAAGAGAAACAAAGTTCTCATTGAACATTTATGGTCAGTTTTGTCGAAATCTTGCGAACCAGACACTGATCCAGGATATCTGTTCCAGTATGGCATCTTGGGAATATCATGTTCAAAAATGTGAAACTTATGCTTGTTGATTTCAGCTGAAACAAGGTAATATTTCTGTTTCAATTGAAGCAGAAGTGGAACTCGGAAAATGAAAAATTATTAATTCAGAAGTACAACTTAAAATAAAGAGTGATAAAGTTCTCATAGAGCGTTTATAGTTCAATTATTTAAATCCTGAAATACCAAATTAAAATCTGAATTTAATGCATTAAACTCAGTACAAATTTGTTTTATGGTTAATTATTAAACAAATTTTTACTGAAATCAATGGAGTGTCCTGATTAATCTTCCAAAAAAAAAAAAAAAAAAAAAAAAAACACTATTACTTAATTCAATTAGCTTAAACGGTAACCATAATACACATGATACTTACTGAGTAAAAAGTGAAGTGAGGAAATTGAAGTGACTGTTCAGGTTAGATGACATTATTATGCAAAATAAGTTAACAACTGAAAATTAAACAAGGAGCAATCTTATCAAGAAAAATCTATATTAAAGACTTAGGGATTATGATAGGAACAATGAAAATTTAACCATAATTTAAGCTAATAATTGAGTAGAAATTATTCCCACTTTCACTGAAGCATGAAGAACATGGAGATCTGATACAGTTGTGGCCAAAGTCGTAAGTGTCCTGTGATGACATAGACAGTCGTTTTCTGTCATCACAAAATTTTGTTGTTGTTTCCTTTAGATTTTCTGCTAGCAACTGTAACAATGCAATTTCAAATTTTTGGAAAAAATTTGAAAAGCAAATTGTTTCGACAGTTTAAAAGTCCAACTAAATTATGGTAGTCATAGGTGAGGTGATCAAAAGAAATTTGAATCCAGTTAAAATGTCACTGAAGCAACCTTTTACGTCTTATTGCTTATTTTTTATTTCTGATTAAAAACTGAATCAAGGCTTAGTTCCTTTATAATAAAACATAATGCAATTAATAACTGCCATTTAGAATTAATGAAAAAATATTATTTGAAAATGAAATGCAACTATTGAGAAGGCAAGTGTGCTTAATAAATTTAGATATGAGAAACTTAAATTCAATTTTTACTAAGGCAAAATACTCACATTATTAAATGTACTGTATCGCAAACCAGTAAGTGAATTTTTCGCCAAATTTCTCTCACTTAGCTTTTGATCCGCTTCATTTTCTTCGTCTTCCTCATTTAGCAACAATCCCAAATTTTCATTTATTGATGATATCTGGAAGAGTGAAGAGAAGTAAAGAAGAGATTCGCTAATTTTACGATAGAATTTATATAAGCAATCAGATAAGAGGCACAACAAACTACTCATCTTTTCTTATACTATGCATGAATGCTGTAATTTTTTGTCTGATTCTTTTAAAGTTCAATCACAGAAAATAAATTTTTCTAGATACTATCACTTTATTGCTACTAAATGAATTTATGCAAATATAGATATTCAGAAAATTGATATACTTTATCCATCCAGTTCTCACAAACTTCTTGTTGACACTGTACTTCCTGTTGAGTAATGATGTTTCGTAGGATTTCGCAACTGCTTATCATTTCACTATTTTCGTCATCTGTACTCCACCTGTAGCTAAAAAAGAATTTGTCCGATGGAAGAAACGGAAAGAAACTCAATTTTGTGCAGAATTAGATTTTAATTTTGCAAATATTTCGCTGTAAAAAGTTGGAAATTGATCGAATTAGTAAACAGTTTTATGATAAGGTAAAAAGTGGTGGAGGGAAGTGAGGAAATTGTGTAATTGAATATTTTGAAAAATTAAAATCAGTGTGTTAAAAACTTGAAAGTGTTTATTATGCTTGTATTGGCATTAACAAATATGATTACCCGGAGACGGTAACCGAACACGAATCTCCATCATCCGTGAAAATATTCGATGATTTAGTTTTGTGTCGATTATACCGGTTGCGATAAATGCCGCGGTAGAATGCTGTCTCTCGAAATAGTCCAACCACATTTGGATTGTAGCGCTGATCGTATATCAAACAGCCCTGTATAATAAGTGGATAGTCAATTAGGCCTATAAGGAATTGAAATTAGCAAAGACCTTACAAGCAGTATCAGTCTTAGAGGAGTACTGAAAGCGATAATTTCGAATAGTTTGGAGACATTGAGGAGAAGCATTGAGGAAGAGAGCAGGGCACATAGTAGCACTGCATAATATGGCACTCCTCTCTTCTTGCTGGTATGAGCCAGTAGACTTAGGGGAAGCAAACTGTCTCCACAAAGCGATGTCAGAATCCTCGTTGCCGGAACAAATATTGCAAGCATTGTGCCAGATAAACCACATACTGAACCTATTGTCATCACATATCTTAAAAAGTTTCACAATAATGAAATTTACAAACAGTATTTAGTATCTGTGATTATTTGTCGAACTAATTATTCTTTCTTTTCCAAAAATATTTCATGAAAAGCATTTCATACATTTTTTAGGTAATTTAAAAGTTTGAAAAAATTCAGGAATAAAAAAAAATTAATCTAAGAAAATACCAGAAAAAGAACAATCATAGCAATCATTGCAAACAACAGTTCTACCAATCATGGATCATTTAGTCATTCTTGGAAGTAAAGATAACAGTACTTTGCGGAGGGTATCTCAAGTTTGTCGAAAATATTTGGGAAAAGCATGTCATCCGGATATTTTGAGATATCAGTAGCTAATGTGATAACCATCGTTGTTAAGAACATAACTAATGTTAAGGCGGTAATTATAAATGGCATAATAAATGGAAGTCGTTTTCGTGGATTTTTCGTTTCTTCTAGAAGAAAACTGAATGTTTCGATACCAATGTAGGCACATAAATAATTCGATGCACCTTTTATCACCTACAATTTCATATCTTGTTCATTAGTGGTAGTATTAGCTGGAAGAACATTTCTTCGGTTGCAGAAATAATCCAATCATTTTTGCACAAATTTTGCAAAATTAATAAATTTATTAAGATTTTTCAATAAAATTTGGGCGCTATGATACTAAAAAATTCTTTCAATTTTAAGTGAGCTATAGTACATTAGTGTTCTATAAAATTATCTTTTAGAATAAAACTGTAAATTTATTTTTAAGAATTATTATTTAAACAGAACTCGTAACATACACCGATAGGGCCATTTTTGAAAAAACCAGCAGCTAGCCAATTATTTGCATCAGCAAAATAAAAGCCAACAAATGCGGTACTATTAGTTGCCAAAGCGCATATGGTTATCATTATTATCGATACAGTAGCCAAAACCTGTCATTTACAACATTACTTAACGGTGCTCTTGTACATCTATCTTGAATTATAACTTTCTCTATTTATCCATTTACAGGACAGGTTTAAATGAGACAAACTAAAAGAGAAATAAATTACTTACTCGAATGCTACAGCATAACACAATTGATGAACAGAAAATGGCTAATACAGCAAAGAAATCTATTTTTGTTGCAAAAATCGAATCCAAATGATAAGACATCTCCACTGTGAAATGCTTATTGAATAATCCATGAAATAATAAATTCTGAAAATTAATATTCAAATTTAAGTTTGAAGCGAATGTACAGAATGCATTTAATTATTTACATGCGCACCATATCATCAGATGACTATTAAAAATCTCATCCTAATCAGTTAATTTCTTTTGCTATTTTCTATTACACAGCATTTCATTATTTAACTAAATTTTTTCAAACAAGATTCAAAAAATAATTAAGTAATTTAAACAGTACCATATGACTGCTCCAATTTTTAGCCACAATAACAATGCAAATAGTAAAATCGAGAAATGATATCCAACCAACAAGAAAAGCAGCTATTTCCCCAAAACTAACATATGTAAAATTATACAATAAGCAACTTTTTGGCATTGAACACATCAATTCATTCATATGCATTCCTAAACATTTCGAAATTAATTTTTTCTATTAAGAAATAAATAATAATATAGTTTTACTTATCTTTTAAGATTCTAAAAGCATTCATCCAAAAAAATATGCTGGAAGAGAAATTAGAGTTTGTTGTATTAACTGCTGTGATTAGAATTAAATTGCATTTAATATCTGTCCCCTACTGTCATTCCGTATCAGAAAGGAAATAGTAGCATTTAACATCCAATGTCTTTTGCTTTTTGTACAATAGCAGTATCATAAAAACAAGAGACCGTAGCCAATATCCACGAATCCATCTGTTGACCCAATGTTACCTTTAAATTATTTGCTTATTTCTTTCTATCTTTCTAATTTTAAGATTTGAGAAAAGCAAAGATAACCTGATAAGAACATGATGATAAAAGCAATCAGCAATGAAAGTAATGCTGAGGGTCCAGAAATGTTCATTACCACATATGGAGTAATGATGAATATGCCGAAAGGTATCGTTAGAACGGAAGCTACAACTCATATTTCTTCATTCATGTCTATTATGTTTGCTAAGTAGAGTAAAATAGAATTAATATTAAGGATTTAAATTTATTGAAAAACTTTTACTATATATAATTTGCAATTCTCTCATGGAAGAATTGTAAATTTCTTTCATGGAAGAAAATGCTCAAATGAGAAGTTAGAAATATTTAATTGAGAGATTTCATTACTTAACAAGATTTCAGTTAAAAAACGTTTTGTGAACAGACTTGTCATTATTTCGTTCAAAAGTATACAAAATTATAGTTTTGGAAATGCTCATTTTTTTGAAATAATATTTCCAAATTCAAAAAATAAAGCATTAACCAATTCCGATCAAAGATGGTGTTCGAAGCTTACGGATCCATTCAGAATGTTCCAAAAATTCGTTGCCTACCGTTTTATAGCGATTCAGGGATGCAATCCGACCATAGGTCATCTTGTTGCTGAAACAGAATTGATGCTTCATTTCTGATATTGTATTATTGATGTTTTAGCATGAAAAGAAAAGTGTTCACAACTCATATACGCATGTCCAATACGGAAAGGGAAAAGGGATTGTTATCGTTATTCTACTGCATCAGTGATAAGATATATATGATATTAGCATGATGCTAACCACTTTGTTTAATTCATCAATCTATTAATCGAATTAATCATCTTACTAATAAAATACTTTTTCAGTTTTTAAATGTTTGAAAATGAATTTCTTGAAAATATGCAAAACTTTTAGAGGAATGGTGATCAAGAATGAGGAAAAACTTTTTCTGAAAAAAAGAAAAACAGGTTTTGAAGATTGAAATTTAGCAAAAAAGAAATTAGTGAGCAAAATTTAGATATAAGTGAGAATAGCTACTGCCACATATGTGTGAGAATTGTGTGGTAAATCATTGAGAACTGCTGTTAAATGAAACTTGAAAGGTTCGTTGAAAATCAGACTGAAAATATAATGAACCAATGCAAGAGCTGCATTTTAACTAATGAGGACTTTTGGAAATCACAAAGTGCCATAAACTAATTTCCTCATTACCGTAGCTCATCAGGCTTTCAAATTCGGTCATCAGAAAAAGGGATTTCAACATTAAAAGAGAGGAAACATTAATGAAGAAAAAAGAAAAGAAGAGGAAGATGTCGATGATTTAATTTATGCATGGGAAAGTGTGAACAGAGGTTAAATTTGAAAGCATATCTTCGGAAACAAGCAGAAAGAGTGGTCCAATAAATCTTTTTTATAAGTCCTTTTTTTACTTTTATGCATTTTAATGATAAAAAGCTGTTTCAGTACCATTTTGGATGCATAAAAAAGGGCGAAGATAAATCATGAGCATATTAATCTTGTGGAACCAGAACAGTGGCGATCAACATAGATTTTCAAAAATGAAAATTTCGTAGAAATGAGGAAAAGGGGAAAGAAATGAAGTATTCCAGACTGTAAGCAGTTCGGATTAATCGAAATTTAAGAAAAAAATGTTTAATATATTTTTTTTGTTCTTCTATTACTCTAAAACCCTTTTGGCAGTATTTTATGAGCATTTCGTAGAAAAATATGCTACGGTACTCCTTAGGATAGAGATGACTAATATGGTCAATGCTGCATGGAACATTTTGCATAAAAGAATGATTCTTATGAATAATATCATCTACAATTATTTCTGTTAATTCATCTAAAATTTTAAAAATAATATTTAAAGAACATTGGCAATAAGTGAAGGTTTTTCATGAATTGAAATTCATTTAAAGAATCTAGAGACTTAAATTAAAACATAGGTTATGTTTAATTTTTTTCTTAAGTTAATTAATCTAGGCTCATTAACTCGAAAATTTTGATGGCAAAATATGAGCGGTTATAATACCTAATGTTGGAACTAACAAGTTCACTTCATCACAAATTCGAACCATATTGTCAACATCCCATGTTCGCTCTAGCTGATATCCAAGTATTTTTAAGCTTGAAGCTACAATTAGCAAAAGTTTGGATAAAAATAGGAATGATAATTATAGATGGGGACAGAGCTATAAAATACATTTATTCGTTGAACAGAGCGCTTATGTAAAGTTTGTTGAAAGGGTGGGCTGTTGGCAAAGTGAAATAAAAAATGATTTAAAGCTAAATTGTGGTTGTTGTTGGCCATATTTTTCACGATTTAATCAAAACATCGCATTTTTTTTTTTTTTGCTATCATTAGGAGACATTCAGAATCATTCGAATATATTCACTAACGATGTTATTTTATAAAGTTCTTTCGTCGCACTACCAAAAATGCACCATAATAAAAGAAAACAACCATTAAAAATTGTCTTAAATAAGAAGAGCCGCTCGACTGTTTCATGAGTTTTCGATTTCATATCGAAAGCTTTGCCTTTTATGCACAATGCGCCGCTTCTAGCGGAATCTGTCAACATTCCATTTTTTTTTCCTCCATAATTTTCGTAAATCTATGAGCCGAAGAAAAAATGAACCTTCTTTAGATGAACCCAGAAAAAGTTACCTCGTGTATTTGATCGAAACTTAAATTCAAATTGGAGTAAATATGTTAATAGATGAAAAAAAAAAAAAAACGATAAATTTGACCAAAGAGCAATCCTTAAAGCAACTTGCTTAAAGTGTTGTTGTCAATTTTAACATCCAGAACATCAGAAATGGGTATAAGATCATTTAGATGCTAGGAGAAGATAGTTGGTCACCTAATTATACAGAGAGAACAGAAATGACCATTTTTCTAAAAAATGCAATTTGAACTTCTGCAAATGATTGACAGATTCCTATAAAATGCCTTGCAAACTTCTTTTGATTTGTTTGATTTCTTTATGATGTATAGACATTTACTCTTTTCGAAATTTCCTGTCATAAAATCTTAGTAAATGAAGAACGTAAAATTTTAAGGCATTTTGACGTCATTTGTCTGAATAATTTTCTGTAGAAATTACTTTCTGTATAAAAAGTACAAAAATTATGGTTAACTTCAAGTCACTTCCACGCGCAAATTTTTATTATTATTTGTTACTTTACTTTAAGTGATTTATCTTACATTGAATAGTAAATTTTTATTATGCAAATTTCCATACAGATTATGCAGTTAAATTAGAGGAAAAATTATGAATTTCAACCCTTTATTTTTCGAACAGTGTCAATAAAACACAAATTTTATTTATTTTCGTACCTTTTTTTTTTGATTTTGACTTTCCAAACAGTATTTTCGGACATGTTAATGTCAACAATGTGATATAATACATGCTTCTACAGGCGTGAACTATAATATTGGAAATAACTGTGAAAAAAAGATGTCACTTTCAGTGCCTTTGTTACTTAGTACTGATATAGAAATTCTTATCATATTTATTAAATTTTTCAAATTATTCAACTTTGCAATGTTTCACAAAACTTTCTTTCTGCTGCATTTTCTCGACTGATATTCAACATCATTCTGAAAGTATGTGGCATGAAATATCATCTGTCTTATAGTCAACCACTTATGGTACTTTAATCAGGTTAAGTTAAAGTAGGATAAACTTTCACAGCTGATTCCAATTGTCCCGGAAGTTCTGCTAACTTCGAAACTCCGAAATTTTTTCATGTGCCAACCAAATATTAAAGTGAATGATCTAATGATGAACGATTTCGAAAGTTTTAAGTCAATAATTTGTTAATTAACTAGCCGGTTATAATAAAAGGCGATAATAAACGATAGTTATCTTTAAATTTCATTTATATCAGTATCCGGAATATTTTATTCCAGTGAAAAAAAAAAGTCATGTAAAGTTTCTATGCATCTGTTCGTTTCTACCGGAATCATTTGAGCATTTCGATCAGTGAGGACGAGATTACTATATTCAAATACACGAATAAAAGCATAGGGTTTGTAAAATAAAGATTTGATGACCTGATTAATTTGGCTTGTTCTATTTCATCACACTGATAAAATTATTTTTATTATCATTTTTGATTATTTTCAAATTAAAAAGGCCTTATGGTAAAAATTCTCGACATTTACATAAAATTTAAATTTAATGCTATTCAGATATATTTCTATTATCTTGATTTTTGAGTGACTAATAATGCTCATAAATGTGAATACTTTCGTTGTGTGACATCCTCAGAATTTCATCCTTGAAGAACTTTTCTTCTGAAATAAAAGTTGCTTTTCCATTCTATAAATTTTGACAACAATTTCAATATTTCTATGTAACTCGTAACCTAAAGAAATAGAGAAAACAGAAACAAAACTACATGTTACAAAATCCATTTTTCAATTATCAGGCATTATAAAAATTAATTCAAGATTTTGATTGTTTATTCAACTAATCAAGATAATAACATTACAAGTTTTCTTCTGCCTTTATTAGTAACTTTTCCTGAAATATAGTTCTTGGATAAGTACTACCGATAAAGTTTTGCATTGCAGAAAAATGAAACAAATTTGATGACGCATTTATTACTTAATTCATGCAGAGGAATGCTGTTATTGGATAATTGATAAAGACAATTTGAAAATTTTATTAACAAAATTGATTTTACGAAGAATGATTTTAAGCACAATATTTCGTGTATGAATCGATTTTAAATTCCATTCGATGACGTATCAACTACTGCGCTTTCAACCAGTTAAAGCTTTTTTCAACTAAAAATTTTTTTCATATTACTTATTTTTTAAAAGAAAAAAAAAATTAATACTGAACTGATAAAATCAAATATTGTCGATAAAAAAAAATAATACTTAGACTTGGTCAGTTTCCTATCAGTTATTGATTAGTCTATTGTCATTCTTGTCGCTCTCTTCATTTATGCTAGTTTTCAGATTAACTTTTGGAATTGTCATTTCTAATTTTTTATTTCCATAAATCACAGCGCATTTTTCTCTGTCAGTGCACTTCTTAGTTTTAATGCTTTTTAGATGTCTTTTTTAGATGTCAACCTTCAACTATTCAGAAAATTTAGTCTTTCAAAAACAGACCGTTCTTCTTTCTTCATTGGTTCAGTATTCTTGTAAGTGACCCAGTGCTAAAAACAGAGGGAGTCATGATACAGCAATGGTCACCAGAAATGACCACTAGAGAGTATCAACAGCAAATATTTCTAAATTTTACACAAACAACCGGTATAATCTACATACCGAAATAACAGAAAAGGAAATCTACAGTGACTTACTTCAGCATATGCAACAATATTTTTATCTCATTAATTTAATTAACTTTAGCACACTGCAAGAAATACAACCAGTTTTAAAAGCCAGAAAATTTTTTCAAACAGCGCAAAAGACACTGCCATCGCGAGAAGTATGCCATAAACAATCAACCATTTTCTTTTAGTAATTTGGCAGACATTTCACAAATTGATTTTTGTTAGATATGGCAAATAGACTTCTGGAAGGATATGAAGTGAAATTCATGACAGAAGTTAATAGAAAGGAGTGATCATTGTTAAAATCTTACTAATTCTGTTTTCACGTGAAATGAAATGAACATTTAATGAAAATTATCTTTGCTAAGTAAAACTGCTATAAATAATAAATAATCCACTCTTCAAAAGGCATGGAAAAATTGAATTCTATGGTCATTTGATCAATTAACCACGATTTTGATCTTTTTTCTTCTTGCACGGCGAAAAAAATATGTTCACAGGTAGTTGAAAAATATGTCATTTGAGCAAAACCAACAGAAATTTTCGGTACTCTTTAGAGATGATTGATTAAACTGAGCAGAATCATTTATCTTTTAAGGCTGATGATACATTTACTTCAAGCACATATAAAATTTCATTCCGATGTCCTTCCCAGTTTACATTGCAAACAATTACTTTTCTCATATTTATTTAAGTATCACTCAGTTTTTGCATTTCTAACACGTATTGTACCACGTGCTTTTACGTATTTTCTTGCAAGTAAGAAAGTTTACGACAAGAATAAAATTATTTGTAATTGCTAACTTACTTATTTCATGCACTATCGCCAAGCAACAACAACAACAACAATGATATCAATGAATTTCACAAGCAATGGAATCATTACTAGCCCACCAAAGTCGCAAAATTCAATTAATATTTGGCGTCGCTATAAGCTTACTATACAAACTTATCAATGGTATTGAATAACCTGGAAAAAGTTCAAATCTGCAAGAATCTTTTTAAGAATTAAAAAAATAAACATTAATAGTGAAAGCACAACATTAAGCGGTAACTGCAAAACTCACGTGAAACAAAAGATGCCGACACATAGCTGAATTACATTGTCAACAGCGCCTCATTGACGGCGTTGCAGAAACAAGTGCAAGTTTAGATGAATTGTAAGTGTTTTTTTCTTACTTTTGTAATCTTTCACTCTACTGGATATGAGTCTCGAGATTCGAGATTCACCTTTTTTCACTTGTTTATATCGTGTTTCATCATCCCTGCCAAATGTTTTCCAACACTTCCAAAAAACGCTAAGCAAGAATTACAACGAAGAATACAACAGTGAGGTTAGACGAGCCAACCATTATCGGTGAAAGAAAGCAATCAAACCAAATTCAATCTTATCGTTGCCATTTACAAGAAGAAAAAGATTTCTTTGTTGAACAAATGATATAATACAAAGGGCTTGTGAAACAATGAACAGAATTGAAAGCGATGCTATTGCCTATTTCATTTAGAATACTTTTACAATTTTAATACGATTCGGAAACTGTTGAAACAAAGGCAAAAAAAGAAAATGTTAGCACAAATAATTAAGAATTAGCCGACGCTATACAAAAAAGTTTTTGTTCCGAGTTTATGTAAATTCAAATTTATTTTTATGGTGAATGACTAACATTGCTTTCGTTTGCATAAAGAATTTTAACAACAGATCAGAAATGAAGGAACGAATGAAAAACAATGAAAATGTAAAGCTGTCATTTTGTTGCAAAACGTTTAGAATGTAGGAATCAATGCGTATCCAAAGTTTATGGAAAAATTTCAAAAACGATAAGTTCCTGATAAAAATTTTAAGCGTTGATGACAATATCAACAATACAACTTAGTCATTTTCATCCCTTTCCATTCTAGCTTTCCTCTCTCCACCTCTTCAGTCTTTTTATCTTTGTTTTATTTGTAAAATAGCTATTTAAACCATCTAAGCAGACACTGCTTCAGTAATAAATTTATATGAATTTATTATTAATTCAAGGCACACTTACCATCATAGTTTTTTCCATTAAGCAATGGTTGAATCTCATTCGGTTATTCTTTTCAATTTCCCTCGGTCATCTTGAAGAATACAGCTAATATGCAACCCGGCAATCTGGCTAGAACATACTCTTTTCATTCTCATACTTCTCACATAACTCCCATAGAACAGTCCTCATGAAATCTATCTTGGATTAGTAATTTGGAATTCTGCTATCACTCTTTCTATTGTTCACAGCAGATCTTATTCCAAACTGCCGCAAGGTGTGGCAGATGACTTTTGGAAATTAACGGAATTTGGATAATTTGAATATATCCATAAAATGTGCTAGTGATTGCTAGCAAGGAATTTATACCATGTGCAACTCTGAAAATAGCTTGAATTTGCAGATTTATTTCGAGTTTCCGTGGATGAAAATGATGAAATTTGTTTTGTTAGCGTTTCCAGTCCTACTGTTAGTCTGTCCTGTATTTGGCGAGGAACAGCAATTCATGATACCACCATTCCTACTGGGAGCGCCGGAATCAGCTGTGAGAGAGATGAAGGAACTGTTTCAAAAATATGCCAACAAGCCGGATTCTCAGCTGGAGGCAGCAGTGGAGGAATGGGTGAATGGAAAAGGCGGTATGATCAAGGTGTGACCAGAACGCTTTATTAAAATATTTCAGTACGAAAAGTTATTTCAGATAATGAATGAAAGAGGAATAGAATTTAAAAGTTACAACTTTTCTCATTCATATCGTCGATACAAATAATCTGTTTTGGATTGGAAAAATGCAGTAAGAGAAAAGATTTCACAAATAATGAAATGACCGTTTGAAATTCTGACTGAATTCTGATATTTTTTAACTGTAGGAAAATTTTGAATGCAACTGCATAATAGTGGAGAAATTCCGGGTTAAAACGAAATATTTCACTAAATTCAGGTTTTTAGTAATAATATCTTTTGCCTGCTGAATATGTTTTTAGCTTCTCACAAAGGCATTTATAATAATTATTGTCAACTCTATTATCATTTACAAATTTTTTGCAAGTGAATTGTTCTTACGGTGTGCCACATGAACAAAAAGTAAAATCCATTTTTACTACTTTAAGAGAAACTTTTCTGATCGAATTTTTAGGAAAAATACAATCAATTTAAAGCAAACATGCAGTTAATGCACGAGAAGACAGCTTTACTGCGAAAAGCAATGGCCGAAAATTTGTCGCCAGAAGCGAAAAAGGCAGACGTGGATTTGAGTAGCATTGGAAAAGATAAAACATTATCTGAACAGCAGAAGAGAGAGAAATTCAAAGAATATTTAAGAAGTAATTACTTTTTAATCACTAAATTGAACCTAAATTAAAAAATATTAATTAACTTGTGCTATATTACAAAATGAATTTACAATTTATAAGAATGGCCTAATATGACAGTAATTTGCAAAAAAAAAAAAAAGGATTTGAGTCATAATTTGTCATAATTTGCAAAAAAATTTGAGTCATCACAAGTTATTCAAATTTCAATCTTTTCATTGTTATCATTTTTCGTTTCATTACTTGTGTTCATCACATTGTCGTATTTCAGATTTGTCCCCAGCAGTGAGGAATGAATTGCAAGCAGTATTTTATGCTAAATTTTAAAGATGAGCACAATTTTATGTTTTGATGCATTGCAATGTAAGCTATCAACAGAATGATAATAAACCAGTTTTTACGCACATTCAACTTCCGTCGCATGCTGAATAATAAAAGAAGAATCCGACACATACAACGATATCATTACACATCTCATTATAATGGGACACTTTCATTTGGGTTTCTAAATTACAGCAAATTAAAATGATCTAAGAGATATTGGGTAAACTACTTGAAGTGAATGCTAAACTCAAAGTTACTGCTACGAAAATTGGAATTGGAAATTTTTGTATTTAAATCTTTCATATTCGAATCATTAACCATTTTATCACTCCTAGGATTTTAAATAAATACTATAATTTCAACATCGCTCATTCATTTTCATTGCACTCAGTTATTTTCTGTTTCAGTAATTTCGAAAAAGTTCTACGAATGCGAGAGAATAGTGTCGTCATTACTTGCAGTACATTGTTGACAATATTATCGTAACATTCTCTTAACAACTGATGATGAGTTATGTCTTGTTTTTTTGCTCCTGGAGGTATACCAGAGGAACTGGTTTCTCTTATACCACTGCATTCTCACAAAGGATTTTTGTGAATAAATCAATAATACATCTACTTACTGTAGATAACTTCCATATGCGTGTACTTATGCCATTGCACTACCGCAAGTTATTCCATAAGTTTTGAACTTTAATATGTTTTTAATTTGAAATGACCATAATCAAACTTTACGATTTGTGAAATACATTCAAATATCATGCAGATAATATCTTTTATTTTAATCGTTATTTAAGATACGTGTATTAAATTATAATGAAATAATAATTTATTTATGGTTCAACATTTCAGTTGAGTTTTTTTGATAAGTTGATAATTGAAATTTGGCAATTCACCTTGAGAAATAATCTTTGCTCTCAGAATTTTTCATTATTTTAATCAAGAACTTTCTCATTATTGATTTTTGCTCAATTCATTTTCTATAATGGTCAAACTTGTATTGACGACTGCTTGCGATTTATATGTTTAAAATTACAAAAAAAAAGACTAAAAATAACATAATTCACATTTGTTATTTTCACTACTGTCATTGTGCGACAATAACATCTCACATCAAAAGTTTCTTGGAGCTTTTTATTTCTAAAAATTAAGGTTTCATTATTTTGACGGGACTCATTCGTGAAAAATTGTATTTCAGAATCAGAATTTAGAACTAGAAGCAATCCTATAATTGGTATTCATTTCTCCAATGAATTACAAATTTCGAGAAGAATAGAAAAATCTTCCTGTATTCTAGAAATACGTCAAAACGTTTAAAAATTTTTCCCCAACTAGTTATCATGAATATGGATACTGTTTATGAAAAAGCATTGGAAAGAGAGTAGGAAAAACAGCGATTGAGTTCAAAGATACGAAAATCACCAATTTGCCATGAAACATTGTCATCAAATTAATAGTCATTGAATTAATTAGTCATCACCTTTCATGGGTCTACTTTCGAGTGTCTTTTGTTCTTCAGCTGCTTTAATTTGCTGGAACATCAAATTCAATAGAAATATGTGTGATTCAGGTGTAAAGTGTCCGTGACAACTGTGAGAGCGAGAAGTGGTGGAAGAAGGAGAAGTTGGGAAACGTACGCCTCTCGAACTTTGTCCCTCTTCTGAAATTGCCCCTCCTTTTCCCTGTACCTCTACCGCCCTCGTTTAGACATTGGATGATTGAGTAGTACACTTCCCCTCGGTGGAATTGACCCCTCCCCTTCCTTCATCGTTGACATCTGCCCACCAATATAAAGAGACTTTACTATGGTCGCGTGTCAATTAGAGCCGGCAAGGAGGACTATAGTAATCGAGGCTATCTTCTGTCACTTCATCACTCAATCTAACAAAAATGAAATATTTTATTTTCCTTTCAATCGGTCTGATAGCAGCAGCATCAGCTCAAAGAGAAGCACAATTACCTCAGCCAGAAATACCTCCATTTTTGTCCGGTGCACCCAGCCATGTTGTGAAGCAATTTTTTGATCTACTCAAAGCTGATGAATCAAAAACTGACCCGCAGACTGAAGCAGATATCGAAGCATTCATTCGCAGACTTGGTGGCGATTACCAAGTTCGTCCTATTAAAAAATAAATAACTTTGTAAACAGTTATGATATACGTTAGAGATAAGAAGTATTTTGTTCCTTTTTCTCTCTGGACACTTCTGACCTTCCTTATTATGCCTCTTCCCTCGATATAATTATATTTCTTAGTTTAGAATTACGTCAATTTGTCATCATTTTCATATTTTGCTTTTCTTTGCTAATAAGTTTGCTAAATTTTTTGCTTCACGTAGTAAACCGAAGTAACAACGACGTGGTATTTCACTGAGTCAACTTTTATTAGTAAATTGTTGTTTCTCGAAAGTATTAATTTTTTCATGTAAAGATTTGAAATTAAAGAAGCGAAACAGTCAAGAAATAAGATTGCTATTTGAAAAGACACATTTCAGAAGTCAGTGACTTTTCACTTTTCTACAAAGTAAATTATTCGGAAAGAATAATAAAGCAAAATTAATTTCAGACTCGATTTGAGCAATTCAAGCAAGAGATAAAGAAAGAAAAAGCTCAGTATGAGAAAATCCATCAAGCAGCATTATTAAAATTTTCACCAGCAGCAAGAGAAGCTGATGCCAAGATGTCTGCTATTGCCGACAGTACGCAACTGACCAATCACCAGAAAACGGAACAGATCAAAGCAATTATGGATTGTAAACTTTTTGCATAATCCATGATTATTTTTAATGATTGAGACGAGATCAAAAAGTTTAGATTTCTTAATACGCTGACAGAAATTTATTTTGCTTTTGAAGAGACGAACAAGTTTGCAATATAATTTTGATTTAATACAAAAACTTGTTTTCCAAATAGCAAAGTTTCATAACACATGAAACTGGAATTGTAAGTTTCCCGAAGACTAGAATCAAAGCTAAAATTCCAAAAAATTTGGTTCTAAAATTCATTGCCTTCAAATTAGCTTTTTCTCTAAATTAATCTTTCCATTGGCTGTTCTAAACTGGATTTAACGAAATTCGGTTGTAACAGATATTGGACAATTTTAGCTTTAAGAATTGTTTAAACCCATAAGCAAAGAGGTTTCCACTGTTGAAGACAAAATGGGAGACAATTATTGGTCACTTAGAAGATTTCATTATTTTCTTAACGAAACTCTGTCTTTCATATTCAGACATTATAATTTATAACGTTCATTTCTTCAAATTTGTTAAAATTTCAAATATAAAATTATTATTGCAGCATTAAGCGAAGCTGTTCGAAAGGAAATCTTGGAAGGATTTAATTCACAATAAAGTGTTATATCAGTGCTGCTGAGTATTACAATTAAGATTTTTTCAAAATGAAAGAAGAATCATATATGCGACAAAAAGTAATAAATAGATAAGAAAATATTGTTGTCATCAATGTGGAATATTTCAAGCTAATTAATTATTACACATCTGTTTATCTTTGTTATTTCATTTTTATCCTCATTAATTATTGCTATTAAAGTTCTCATGCTAGCAATGTTAAGGATAGTGTAACAAAACAAATTTGTATGAGATGCAAATAAGCCAATGGAGAAGATTTGTTGTATAGAATTCCATGAAATCAGTGATTAGTATCGATATCAATTCACCACTAGTACTATATTTAAAAAGCTGAAAAGAGTTTTGAAATAGTTTTTTTCTTTTTCAATACTTTTAAATCATAAAACTTAAGATTTACAAATATACTATCTGTTAAGGTTAAATAGCAAAGGTTTCAAATCTTATACTTGTAAAATAAGAAGGTAACATGGAGTAAACAGAAAAGATTGTAAGAATAGTCTACAAATTTAGTTCATTCAAAAATATAGATTGAGCATGTCTAAAGTTGACTCATCATGATAACATTATTCAATAAGAGTTTTTATTTTAAAAAATGAGCTAAATTCATACAAAAAAACATGAACGGAAGTGTCCTTGCATGAAAACATCGAGTATAGGAGAGAAAATATAGGAGGAATACCATATTTGAATTAAAATCAACTAATAGTTCGTTCCTTAAAATTCTTTTATGTGTTTCAAGCAATTCTCAAATAATCTTTTTCCTTCATAAACAATTGATAGACACATGCATTATTTATTAAAGTATTGTTTGGGAAAAGTATCATTCTTTGAAAATGAATCATTCAGTATCATTTAATTTACAAAAAATAATTAGTTTAATCAAAATCTGGCATAGATAAATTTGAAATATTAAACTTACCCAATTTTCTCAGACAGTTGTTATTTTATTTTTTTTTATTTTTTTAATAGTTAAATGATATTTCTTGTGAAGTTTCACTGAAAGATTAAATGAACATAAAAACTTAATAATTATCATATAGAAGCCGTTCAAAAGCGAATAAAACAAAATGAAAAAAAGAGTCGATTAAGCGAACTGTGCAGGACATTTGATGAAAAGTATGAAAAGTCAGAATAACGATTATTACTAATGTAATATTATTTAATATTTGCAAGAAATTGCATCAAAAAATCTAAAAATCAAACATATTTGCGTAAGGAATAATCTTGAAATGCTTTCATTGACTTACTTCTACCATTGACGTCTAACTTTTGCAAGTATCTAACATAAATCCATTTATATTCATTCGTTAGTAGTTTTTGTGAAGAGAGAAAAAGGTTAATGAAAGTTTAGATTTACAGCGTGAAAAAAGTAGATTGAAAGTGGAAAATTAAAAAGCATAGATTTTACATTGATTGGTAATTAGGTAATTATAGCACAAGAAAAGAAATTCTTTTAAATTTGCTAACAACTGCAGAAAATGCGACTGTTTAACAAAACTTTTGATATTATATTTATTTGTAATAGCTTTATTCAGTACTACCATCTTATGAACTTCCATGATTATTTGATTATTAGTAGCTGTAATTTTGTATGTTAATTAGATGTTTCTGCTTTTATTTTTTATATTTTGGATCATAGATAGATAGTAAAGTGCGTTGAATTGAAGAGATTGTAAAATAGATTCGGTAACATTTTTCTTCCATTACAATATCAATTTTTTTTTTTTTTTAAGTATAATTGTGTTCCTTTAAAAGCGAAAAGATTAGTTTATGTAATAAGAATCGTTCTGTTTTTGCTCTGCTAATTAAAAAAGAAGGCAAAGTATGCTTAATTCAACTCTCAGCTATCACTGTTCAATCTATTTGACAATAAATGAGATAATCGAAATGAGATTGATGAGTCTCAATTTAACGAAACTTAGACACCTGTCATACTCCTGTGCTTCATGCTAACTTTAAAACTGGTAATTCAATATTGTAAACAATGAAAATCTTCAAGTAAATTGTTTAAGTACCATTATAAGTTTATTAGTTATCGGCAAAGTTATCAAAGATAGCGAGAAAACTTACTGAAGTAAATCACTATTTAACAATACTCCTTAACTTATCAAAGATAAGAAATCAAAATATGTTAGGCATGAAAAGTTTATTGCATCTCATATAATAAACTTATTGGATTAATTTTTTCTCTTAAAGTAATCCATTTAAATAGGTACTGTTACTGAGAGAATAAATGAAAAGAAGTAGGAAATATGTATAGAAAATTTGAAGGACAGAACATTTAACTTTACTTTGCTATGAACCTGATTCATGTCTGAAGCTTAATTTCATGTCAAACCATAACTTTCAACTGAAATGATATATTTTGCTGTATTCAGGATTTTCTATCTTAATTAGATTCAAGAAAAAAAAAATGGTAAATTCGCGTTATTCGAGTCTTACTTGCATAGTTCAGATTAAATTAATGAAAACAAAAGGGCAAAAGAAGATAGCAGTGGAAAAAGGAAGGGAATTTGAGGAAAGAATCAAAACGTTATCTTTCTTGTTAAACAGCTTGTTATCACACTTAATCATTATCTTTTAAATTGGCTTGACCTTTCAGTTGCGTTGGGTTTGGTGTTTTAATTGATCATTCTTAACTCACTCCTTTTTCTCGAACAATTATCCATCCCACACCACTGAAAAGATATATTTTCACTATTTTTTTAACTTCCGTTTTCATTTACCTGTGTTTATATAATTCCATTTGTATAAGTTAAAAATGATTCTAAAAACAATACTAAAATACAAATTATTTATGTTTGAGAGCGTTTTTTGGGACTAATTTCAGACAACAAATCTGCTTTAAAATGACGAAATTTTCAATTAATAGTAATATGCGTGGGAGAAATGCGGTAGATTTGATGTACGCATATCAAAGCTATTATTAGAAGAAATCGCACTTTTGCCTTTATTTGCTTTTTATCTCAATCTTCACTGATAAATTTTCATTATCAGAAGTACTGAGTGAAATGATTTTGAAACGACTTGGAAAATTAGTTATAGTTTTAAGATATTATTTATATGCGTTCTTTCTTTTCACATTTTTATTTTAAATAATATTATCATTTCGAAATCTCATTTTCACTAATTTTTTGATCAAATTTTATTCGGAATTCTGCTTCAAAGATAAAAAATGGTAGAATGAACGAAAGTTTAAAATTGGTTTTAATTGATGGGGAACGAATGATACTCCTAAAAATCAATATTTTAGTGTGCTTGAAAAGAATTTTGAAAGATGAAAAGTCGTATTCAACGTTTTTGGGATTTATTATATGTAATTCTTAGTTTGTAACAGAATATTCTAAAAAAACTGATGAATAGAGTGACATAATTATTAGACTTTAAATTCCATTTTTCCCCTTTTTTTTGATTACTCGAATCTTTGAGACGTGACGATTTGGTAAACTAGGCCATTTTTTTCTTCAATGTAAAATTATCACTGAATTGCTGCAGCCTATTCGTTTCCTGAACTTGATATATAGGAAACCAGTCATAACTAACTCTTTTAATTATAGCAGCAAAATAATTCAACAACAATGTGGCTAAAAAATCAATTACTGTTAAATAGAAATAAATTATAGATGTAATTAATTTCACTATTTTATTGGAAAATGTCACATCTGAATAGCAACAAGTTTTCTTTTTTATTTACCCAAACAGATATGACAATTATTAACGAGAGCGGAATTTCACTGATTCTCTCAATGCTTGATTTTGGAGCCGAATTCCAATTGTTTTCTTGATTATAATTTTAAGACATTTGTCATTACTTCTCTGATTTTAAACTAAATGAGATGAAAAAATAAGAGCAACGAAAGCAATGAAAGCAAAAAAAAAAGGGAAAAGAGAATGATATCATCCATATCATATGTGACACGTCAAACTTCGAGATCGATTCATTATTCGATTATCGAATTCAGTAGTATGAGATAGCTTATTATTAATATTATTATTGTTACTGTTATTATTACTATTATTATTATTATTATTTGTTATACTGCCTTAGCTGCCAAATTTGTGCAAGATATTACACATTTAATGTCAGATGATTAATAACATAATAGCGAACATAATTACACTCCGAATATTTCGTCTATTCTTTAGTTTTCTTTTCTATAGCTTTAAGAGAAATGTTTAAAAAAAAAAAGCACTTCTCTTAAAACTTTTACTTCAAATGATATTCATAATAAACCATTAAATTTCTGAAAATTTAGGAACTAACTTTGATTTCCTTATAAAATTCTAATTATAGAAGCTTTGATAGCTATGTATGGTCAATTCTTTATTCGTGTTTAATTCCTTTCTGCAATTACTACAAAATTTTTGCACTTCATCAAAAGAAAGTTGATTGACAAGTTCGATTTAAAGTGGCATCAGTTTTCAATTCAAGTTACCATCATCTTTTCATTTTCCCACCTTTTCTTCTCCCTCTATCTTCTTGTCGTTCGTTATTATTGTTGCTCCTGCAAAAAACACTGCTCTGCGTGAAATGAATTTCATTAATGAATTTGAAAAGATTTGTACCACAATCTTGAAAAATGAACAATCAAAAACAAAGAACAGGTACAAAGGGCAAATAACAGGTTAAAATGATAAGTTTTAAATTTAATTGCTACTCTTTCACTTTTGATTTTGGCCTTCGCCAAAAAACTGCATTTTTCTTCTATTTCCAAAAAGCGGTAACATTAAGCAAAGAGTCTGAAAAGGTAATAAAATATTTTGTTTAGCATTTAATTTGTCTCATTAAATTTCTGAGGTACAATTAGTTTGTTACTCATTTTACTATCTAATGATTCATTTTCCATTATTTGAAAAGATCCTTTTTCTGATTGCGATGAAGTATAACTATAATTGCACCAAATATCAAACGAAGATTTTGCGAATTTATCATCGAATCAGGAAGTCTATCATTTTTATTACTGAAATATTGAAATTGATTT